GTTATAGGTGATTTTATATTTGTTATTTTCTTTTATATTTCACGTCGGGAGAATAATTTCCAAGACACAAATGTGTTTTTACCTGTGCACTGCTGCCTCTGTTCTACTGGCTCTTCGACCTCGTCTATTGTGCGACTGACGCCGCCAACGTTAACATGACGTTTACATCGCTCTTACTGCGCGCGTTTTGTGTGGGTTTCCGGCAATGAGTGGAATTACCGAAATAAAAAAATTTATAAATGTGTTTTTTTTGTGTGTTGTTGTCCCAACAACACATAAAAACAGATTTTATAATACAGTAAGTTAGAGATTAAAAATGAGATTAACATGATTAAAAAACATAACGCGCTAAATATGACTGTAATTAATTAATCGCAATTAACGCAATAATGTGACACCCCTAATATATATATAAAAAATTAAAAAAATGTGTTTCTCACCTTCCACGGTGGTAGGTCTCTCACCCTCATTCAGCTCGGGTCGTCTACCAGAGGCCTGGGAGCTTGAGAGTTCTGCGCAGTATCTTTGCTGTTCCCAGTACTGCACTTTTCTGGACTGAGATGTCCATTGTTTTTCCTGGTATCTGTTGAAGCCACTCTTCCAGTTTGGGGGTTACAGCCCCGAGTGTCCGATCACCACAGGCACCACTGATGCCTTTACTTTCCAGGCTCTCTCCAGCTCTTCCTTGAGCCCCTGGTATTTCTCTAGCTTCTCGTGTTCCTTTTTCCTGATATTACCATCGCTTGGTATTGCGATGTCAACCACCACGGCTCTGCTCTGTTTCTTATCCACCACCACTATGTCTGGTTGGTTCGCCATCACCATTCTGTCAGTCTGTATCTGGAAGTCCCACAGGATCTTGGCTCGGTCATTCTCCACAACCTTTGGAGGTGTTTCCCACCTTGATCCTGGGGTTTCCAGTCCGTACTCTGCACAGATGTTTCTCTACACTATGCCCGCAACTTGGTTATGTCGCTCCATATATGCTTTCCCTGCCAGCATCTTACACCCTGCAGTTATGTGCTGGACTGTCTCAGGAGCCTCTTTGCACAGTCTACACCGTGGGTCTTGTCTGGTGTGGTAGATCTGGGCCTCTATTGCTCGAGTGCCCAGGGCCTGCTCCTGAGCAGCCAGGATCAGTGCCTCTGTGCTGTCCTTCAGACCAGCCCTCTCAAGCCATTGGTAGGATTTCTTGATATATATATATAATAAAATAAATAAATAAATAAACACAGAGACACACATCCCTGAAGAGGAGTGGAGGTCTTGTCTAGTGAGATGAATTGTGTGCATATACTAGTATTTGGCAAAACCTTAAAGTACCCACTTCTTACTGCTCAGTCCTATAAGTAATTTATTTTATGAAATATTAAGTTTTTCATCGTTCTTGTTGCCATGACTTAATTTGTCAATATTTGATCTATTTCAAGTTTTTTGGGGGGGTATCTATGAGTAATCTACCTTCAGATTTGGAACAGGACAGTCCCATTCAACTTCATTCATTCAGTTTCTTTCAAATATGCAAAGAAAAATCTAATTCCATTTTCAAAGTTGAAAAGGCACCAATGTCATGGAATAACACATTGAATGCTGAGGCAGATGATTTCTGTTGTTGTGTCCTAGGGCAAAACACTTAACCCATCTTGTCCCCAGTGTTAGTGTACACTGGTGTGTGAGTGTGTGTGGATGGGGGAGTGGTTCCTGTAAAGTGCATTGAGCCTTGAAGGTAGAAAAGTATATATATATATATATATATATATGTATATATATATATATATATATATGTATATATATATATACTATAGAAAAATGTGACCATTTACCGTTCATTAATTTTATTTCTAAACATAATATATGAAGTTTTATTACTGAGCACATTGTTGCTTTATCCTGTTCTCTTTTACTCTTTTTACTTCCTTAATTTTTTGTCAGCGAGAATTAATAGTCATCACTAGAGTATTGCTCAGAATGAGAGTTTGAAATATTATCCACTTAAAATTGTACAGTCCCTTTTCTCAAAATCATAAAACAGGATTTTCTAAATGACATTTCAATGTCCTTTTTCCACATTTTTATAGCAAATGTTTATTTTTGTACATTATATTATTTCACTATCAGGTTAAGATGGGCTTTAGGATTAGGGTTAGGACCAGTTCCTTTGGTTAAATTTAGGGCTTTGGAAAAGCTAGTCCCACCTCACAGCCAAACATTTTAACCTCTTCTATACTATGCAAAATTGTCTCTTGTGAGTTTTTAGCCATGTTGGAATATTGTTACCTCCTCAGACCTGGAGCTGTGTTTTGTTTCATTCACACATGTGAAAGCTTTCGCAGTTATCCAAATGATTCCAGTGAAGGTGTATGCATTTTAAAAACACAGTGGAGCACTTCCTGTATTTCTACTTCATCACATTACAAGACAGAACAGAGTGTTTCCAGTTTGATAGAAGAACTCAGCCTAAATGTGCAGGTTTGTGTTAAACATAACTCCAGGTCTGTGTGTGATGAGGAAACGACATTATAACAAATGATGAGAAGTGAGCAGAGCACAGGCCCTGAAGGCCTCACCACAACACTGACTGCACTTCTAACTCTACTCACTCCCATTACAGGAATCACCAGTCTACTCGCCAACGGCATCTACACTGCTGCCTACCCCCTGCACGACGTGAGTACACACTCCTACACACACACACACACTACACACTACACACTACACACACCTACACACACTACACACTACACACTACACACTACACACACTACACACTACACACACTACACACACACTACACTACACACACACCTACACACACACACACCTACACACACACTCACACACTACACACACACACACACACACACTACACACTACACACACTACACACTACACACACACTACACACACCTACACACACTACACACTACACACACTACACACAACACTACACACTACACACTACACACACACACACCTACACACACCTACACACACTACACACTACACACTACACACACACTACACACACACACTACACACACTACACACACTACACACTACACACACTACACACTACACACACACTACACACACACTACACACACACTACACACACACTACACACACACACACTACACACACACACACTACACACACCTACACACTGCACGACGTGAGTACACACTCCTACACACACACTACACACACTACACACTACACACACACTACACACACTACACACACTACACACACTACACACACACACTACACACACCACTGCACGACAGTACACACACTACACACACTACACACCTACACACTACACACTACTACACACACTACACACACTACTACACACTACACACTACACACACACACACTACACACACTACACACACTACACACTACACACACACTACACACACACACACATACACACACACTACACACACCTACAGCACGACGTGAGTACACACTCCTACACACACACACTACACACTACACACACTACACACTACACACACACCTACACACTACACACACACACTACACACACTACACACACCTACCCCCTGCACGATGTGAGTACACACTCCTACACACACCTACACACACTACACACACTAAACACACTACACACTACACACTACACACACCTACACACACACTACACACACACACACTACACACAACACACACCTACCCCCTGCACGACGTGAGTACACACTCCTACACACACCTACACACACTACACACTACACACTACACACACCTACACACACCTACACACACTACACACACTAAACACACTACACACTACACACACCTACACACACTACACACACTAAACACACTACACAGTACACACATCTACACACACCTACACACACTACACACTACACACACCTACATACACCTACACACACTACACACACTACACACACCTACACACTACACACTACTACACACACCTACACACACTACACACTACACACACCTACACACACCTACACACACTACACACACTACACACTACACACACCTACACACTACACACACCTACACACAACACACACCTACCCCCGGCACGACGTGAGTACACACTCCTACACATATCTACACACACTACACACTACACACACCTACACACACCTACACACACTACACACACTAAACACACTACACACACCTACACACTACACACACCTACACACACCTACCCACACTACACACACTAAACACACTACACACACCTACCCCCTGCACGACGTGAGTACACACTCCTACACACACCTACACACACTACACACACTAAACACACTACACACTACACACACCAACACACACCTACACACTACACACACCTACACACCCCTACACACTACACACTACACACACCTACCCCCTGCACGACGTGAGTACACACTCCTACACACACTAAACTCACTACACACTACACACACTAAACACACTACACACTACACACACCAACACACACACTACACACTACACACACCTACACACACCTACACACCTACACACTACACACACCTACCCCCTGCATGACGTGAGTACACACTCCTACACACACCTACACACTACACACACTAAACACACTACACACACCAACACACACCTACACACTACACACACCTACACACACCTACACACTACACACACTAAACACACTACACACACCTACACACACCTACACACTACACACTACACACACCTACACACACCTACACGCACCTACACACACTACACACACCTACACACACCTACACGCACCTACACACACTACACACACCTACACACACTACGCACACCTACACAAACTACACACACTACACACCTACACACTACACACACTACACACTCCTACACACTACACACACTACACACACCTACACACACGACACACATTACACACTACACACATCTACACACTACACACACCTACACACTACACACTACGCACACCTACACACTGCACATACCTACACACTACACACACCTACACACTACACACACCTACACACACTACACACTACACACACCTGCACACTACACACTACACACACCTACACACTACACACTAGACACACCTACACACTACACACACCTACACACACTACACACTACCCACACCTACACACTACACACACGTACACACTACACACACCTACACACTACACACAGTACACACTCCTACGTACAACACACACCTACACACACCTACACACATCTACACACTACACACACCTACCCCCTGCACGACGTGGGTACACACACTTACACACTCCTACACACAACACACACCTACACACTACACACTACACATTCCTACACACACCTACCCCCTGCACGACGTGAGTACACACTCCTACACACTGCACACACCTACACACACCTACACACTGCACACACTTACACACACCTACACACTGCACACACCTACACACACCTACACACTGCACACACCTACACACACCTACACACTGCACACACCTACACACTACACACACCTACACACACTACACACACCTACACATACCTACACACTACACACACCTACACACTACAGGCACTTACACACACCTACACATTACACACATCCACACACACCTACACACTACACACACCTACACACACCTACACACTACACACACCTACACACAACACACACCTACACACTACACACACCTACATACTACACACTAGACACACCCACATACGACACACACCTACACACTGCACACACCTACACACTACACACACCTACACACACCTACACACTACACACACCTACACACAACACACACCTACACACTACACACACCTACATACTACACACTAGACACACCCACATACGACACACACCTACACACTGCACACACCTACACACACCTACACACTACACACACCTACACACACCTACACACTACACACACCTACCCCCTGCATGACGTGAGTGTGCAGGGGGTGATAGTGTGTGAGTACACACACCTACACACTGCAGTGTGAGTACACACACCTACACACTGCACGACGTGAGTACACACACCTACACACTGCGGGGTGAGTAGATCTACAGCTGACAGCTGTTGATAAATGCTCCTTATTTCCTGGAGCCATTATGGCCACAACACACAACATGATGAAGAAAAAATCCAAATCTGTACTTATAATGACTTTACAGATGGTGGAGCATAATTCACTTTTACATTACATTTATTATTCATGTGGTGAGTAATGAATTGCATCTAAAGTAAAATGGGGGCTAACCGTGCATGTGATTGTGCTTACAGGGCGACATCGAGGGGGTGACAGCAGAACCCAATGACAGGAAGGTGGGTGCTCCTGAACCAGCCTATCCATCATCATAGAGCCCTGTCAGAGCGGCAGGGGCTGGACTCTGTCCAACAATAACTGTTCAATGGATTTAGAATAGAGTTTACGATGATACTAAAATATACAGCTCATTTTTGATACTAAGGAATATACTCGATACTCCGATTCCAATACCGATGTTGATACCTATTTAGCATTTACAAAGACAATGTGATTTTCAACTTTAAATGTTATATATTAAGCAAAACTGACTGAGGCCACGTTAGAATGTTGTTCACACATGTTTTGAGTAAACCTTTAGGGTTTGTGTGAATAAAAGAAAACACAACTCCAGGTATGTTTCTGATGAAGAAACATTATAAGAAAGATCAGCAAATATGTCATATGAGGCCTTTAAATGACAGTGCTTTCTTTTATACAGGTTTTATACAGTATATGTGTGTGATCCTCAGTGGTGCAGTAGGTTCATGTTGGTCCATGTGTGTGTACTAGTCTATGTGCTCATATACTTGTTCTGAAACAGCTCAAGATCATTCGAAAAGGAAAGATTCAGGAAAGATTCATTTCTGTTCTCTGAATGGGACTTTTTTAGTATTGACAGCTGCTCAGCTGAGTATCTACTTTCAATACTAGTTTTAGTATTGATTAGAGACTGATTTTCTCCTTTTTGTTTTCTTTTTGAATGCAGAATTTTAGTTTCTGTTTTCTTCTTGTAAAAAGCGGAGTTGATTTAATGTAGTTGTTATAGAACAGGAGGGGCACATGACCTGACTTGTTCCGATGTACGAACAATTTCATAACAGCATAAACCATTTCCTCATAATGATTACATTTTAGAATGAAGCAGAATTATGAGCTGTGGACAGATCAGGGACTAAAAGGTCTTACATTAGCTCCCATCTGTACCACGGGAGGCAGGACTCATCTGCTCACAGTCTGTCTCCCGCTGTGCCCCAGGCTGCTACACTACAACGTCACTACGGCAACTGTCCCTGTCCCTCTGTCCCCTCTGTCCTCTCTGTCCCTCTGTCCTCTTTGTCCCTCTGTCCCTCTGACCCCTCTGCCCCTCTGTCCCTCTGTCCTCTCTGTCCGTCTGTCCCCTCTGTCCCTTTGTCCCTCTGTCCCCTCTGTCCCTCTGTCATTCTGCCCCACTGTCCCTCTGTCCTCTCTGTCCCTCTGTCCTCTCTGTCCCCTCTGTCCCTCTGTCCTCTCTGTCCCCTCTGTCCCTCTGTCCTCTCTGTCCCTCTGTCCTCTCTGTCCCTCTGTCCCTCTGTCCTCTCTGTCCCTCTGTCCCTCTGTCCTCTCTGTCCCTCTGTCCTCTCTGTCCCCTCTGTCCTCTCTGTCCTCTCTGTCCCTCTGTCCTCTCTGTCCCTCTGTCCTCTCTGTCCCTCTGTCCTCTCTGTCCTCTGTCCTCTGTCCCTCTGTCCTCTCTGTCCCTCTGTCCTCTCTGTCCCCTCTGTCCCTCTGTCCTCTTTGTCCCTCTGTCCTCTCTGTCCCTCTGTCCTCTCTGTCCCTCTGTCCCCTCTGTCCCTCTGTCCTCTCTGTCCCGCTGCTGTATGTGTGTTGTATGTGTAAAGTCAGGACCTCTCTCAGTTTTGTGAGGACCCTTGGTTTTTAAGGGGCTCAGTTTACACACAGTTTTCAATCTTGTAGTTTGAAATGTTAGTATCAAGTTGACAGTATTAGCAGTGTTTGTGTCATTATTTTCACAACTTTCATTTCAGTGATGTTGCTGCCAAATGAAGCTCTGGAACTCCCAATGTTCAGCAACCTGAATAAATAATACATTATAAATTATAAGTAATAAATTATAAATTATACATAATCAATAATTCATAATCAATAAAACACCCCTGTGTGTATAAGTCACCAAAATACATGACATGAGCAGTCAGAGTCAGTGCCTGGTAGGAGCCATTTGCCATTTGTACAGAATAAACTCTCTCTCCATCTCTCTCTCCCCCCTCTCTCTACCTCTCTCCCTACCTCTCTCGACCTCTCTCTCCCCTCTCTCTCTCTCCATCTCTCTCTCTCTATGTCTCTCCCCCTCTCTCTCTCTACGTCTCTCTATGTCTCTCCCCCTCTCTCTCTCTACGTCTCTCTATGTCTCTCCCCCTCTCTCTCTCTACGTCTCTCCCCCGTCTCTCTCTATGTCTCTCCCCCTCTCTCTCTCGACGTCTCTCCCCCGTCTCTCTCTATGTCTCTCCCCCTCTCTCTCTCGACGTCTCTCCCCGTCTCTCTCTATGTCTCTCCCCCTCTCTCTCTACCTCTCTCCCCCCCTCTCTCCATCTCTCTCTATGTCTCTCCCCCTCTCTCTCTCTCTATGTCTCTCTACTCTCTCTTCCCCTCTCTCTCTACCTCTCTCCCCCTCTCTCTCTATCTCTCCCCCCCTCTCTCTACCTTTCTCCCCTCTCTCCCCCTTTCTCTCCTACCTCTCCCCCCTTTTCTCTCTTCCCTTCTCTCCCCTCTCTCTCCCCTCTCTCTCTCTCTACCTCTCTCCCCCTCTCCCCCCCTTTCTCTCTATCTTTCTCTGCCTCTCTCCCCCCTTTCTCTCTCCCTCTCTCCCCTCTCTTCGCTCTCTGCCACCCCTGTCTCCCCCTCTCCCTGTGCCCCGTCGTCGTGTGATTAAACGGAGTCATTTGTTGTATTTGCTGCTGGTGTTCTCTGTGTGATGGGTGGGTCTGTGTTGTGTCCTGTATCATATTTTACTCAACACTCTTCACATGTAATTGACGACTTAATAATTCAGTTACAGCCGTACGCAAAGGTTACACACTTTTAATTAAAACTGGAATCGATTGCAGTTTCGTGGGCTTTGTATGGAATCCCTTCTCTCCGTTTTTGCCATAACATATATCTCTGTGATCACCTCATCAAGTGCCCTTCAGCTGCAGCCAAATGTAACCTACATTGATCCTTTTTCTATTGATTTGCACAGAATTAGCTCAAGTATTATGTTGTCTCACTTAAAGGTTAGTTCAATAAATCTCCAGGTGATGTTCACACAGAAGCAGAAACCACAGACTTTGACGCACCAGCATTAGATCTAATCATTTCACTATTGATGCTTTGCTGCTGATCTCATCAACATTCCCTGAGGCTGTGATGCTAACTGTAGGCACTGCTCTGTCTGAGGCTTTGTTTAGACGTTAATCTGAGTTTTATTTTACACACAATAGTGCATTACACCATTTGTGCTCTTGCTTAGTTTCTCACACGTCAAATCACAGTCAGTTTTTCATTTAGTCACTCTCAACTTTTTGTTGAAAATCAAACTCCTTAAGGACCACGAACGCTCGGACTGATCACAGGCTCCTAAAAATGTGCTATTTAAATCCAAGTCTTATTTTTTCTTGAGTTTTCAGATAGTAAACCTTTTTGTATTTGCTAAGGTGTGCATTGTGTCACCATATACTGTAATTGTTGAATATTCTGCCATAGCGATACATGTAGAATATCCCCAGCATGCTGTCACTGCAAAGTATCAAGAGAGGTTATGCACTACATCCAGTGTTGGGAAGGACTTTTAAAATGTATTCCCCTACAGATTACAGAATACAGACCTCAAAATGTAGTTTGCAACATAATCTGTTAAATTACTTAAAGTGAGTAACGTAATCTGATTACTATGGATTACTTGATATTGTCATGCTTTTTAAAACTACATGAATGTACCAACCACATCCTGAAAATTCTTCTTTGTTCTCTTCAAATTGTCTGTTGAGACCAAGTCTCCATGAACAGACTTTTGTTTACTGTCCTTTTAGTCCTGGTTTAGTCCTGGTTTTAGCCCTTGTTTAGACCTGGTTTTAGTCCTGGTTTAGTCCTGGTTTAGTCCTGGTTTTAGTCCTGGTTTAGTCCTGGTTTAGTCCTGGTTTAGACCTGGTTTTAGCTCTTGTTTAGTCCTGGTTTAGAACTGGTTTAGACCTGGTTTATTCCTGGTTTAGACCTGGTTAAGTCCTGGTTTATACCTGGTTTAGTCCTGGTTTAGACCTGGTTCAGTCCTGGTTTAGTCCTGGTTTAGACCTGGTTCAGTCCTGGTTTATACCTGGTTTAGACCTGGTTTAGGCCAAAATGTGAAAACAGGAAAATACCTCTGTGTAATCCATTTATTTCAACAAAGTAACAGTAATCCAATTACCACTCACTGAAACAGTAACTGTAACTGAATACACTTACTCATAATTTGTACTCTGATTATGTAACTCCGGTACATGTAATCTGTTACTCCCCAACACTGGCTACATCGATTTATTTGAAAAAAGCTCCTAAAAATTGTGACGCTGTGGCTCATGATCCTGAGCTTTTTCTTGCCTCCTTTTTGTCCGTGGAGCTGTTGTTCACTCCAAACCTGGTGCACGGCCCCTGTTGGTTAGTAGAGATGTTTAGTGTTTTTTCATGGCCAATAGCATTATTTTATTTATTTTTATTTTTTATTTTTTTTAAGAATCCAACGACTGATAAGGTCAGCCAATATTTTTTGGTCAATGTGTAGTATAGATTTTAACACCCCCCCACCCCCAAAAAGACATATTTTTACATTACACAAACCTGTCTACCACCCTGTTTCACTACAAACTGCATCAGAGAGCTGTGTAGTCACCTTGTACAATGTCCCCTTTGAACTAAAATGTGCCAGGCTCCAAAAAGTGCAGATACGTGCCCGATATATTGATTGTCATATATATCGGGAAAGAGGACACTGCACAAAACATGACGAAACAGCGCTCTTATCCAGTCTGCAAGCTGGTTTACTATTTCTTGATTTTCTTGTTTTAGATGCCAGGTACAAACTAAATATTTAGCAGAAATTTATTATATATATTTTCACACTGTAGCAGCTCATATTGCGTGTGTTTTACTGGTTAAACTGTCATTACTCAGCCCTGACTCTCATATGATGTTTCCACTCACTAATAAAGCACCAAAGGTTGTGATGTCATCTGCATAACCTCTACTGGGTACCTTGAGTATTTTTACATGTAATACTCATAAATATGGATGACGTGGTTATTGTTGAGGCCACATGTGAATGAAATGGAGGTCTCTGTAGGCACACTCTCCTGCGTGGGTGTAGTAGTACAACATGTCGGTGACATACTGAGCTGTATTCAGACCCATAAAAAATGATGTAAACATTTAATCTTACAGTCTGTTTTCAACAAACACATATTTGTGTACAGCATCATCACCCAGCATCATCACGTAGTTGTATTTAATGGAAATATGTCAAATATGTTTTTTTGGTTTCTAAACACAGTGTTAAACGTGTCTACTGTGTCCACAGCTGCTGTACGAGGAGTGGGCCAGCTACAGTGTTTTCTACAAGTACCAGCCCGTCGGACTTATCAGGTCAGACCCCAGTACTTTTCTTTAGAATTCATTACAGTATAAGTTTGTGAAAGTTATCTCTGCCCCGTGTGTTACCTGAGCAGCCGCTCCCTTTTACATTCTGTTTGAATCCAGAAAAGTTTAGAGCTGGCTGTTTTGTTTTTGACCTGCACAGAGCATGTGTCTCTCTGATTGGTTAATCTGCCTGTCAATCACACCCTCTGAAATCAGAGAGACTGGACACTGCTCCAGATCCAGATTTCTTTGTAACATTTTGTAAAAACACGTGGTTCTGACTGCTCAGGTAACCAGATGTGAGCTTTAGAGCCCCCCTCATACCACACTATACCACTGTGACACACGTACAGCCTCAAAGGTATCAGGAAAAGAGTAGAACAAGTAATGCAGAAGTGGTACATGGACCTGGTTGTCTAATTTTTTTTAACAAAAGCTTCATGTTTCATCTGATTAAGATTATATTATTATTATAAATACACACTCACATACACACAGTAATACACAACTAGGGGCTTCTTTGTGCTTTATCAGTTCTCCATCAGTTCTCAGAAAATTTGAAGCTTTACCATTGTAGAGTTTACTTTTGTAGATTACTTTCATAACTATAAAGTGAGTGTTGTGATATTTTGCCTGTAGGAAGTACTTTGGGGAGAAGGTGGGGCTGTACTTTGCCTGGCTGGGGGTCTACACACAGATGCTGATCCCTGCTGCTCTAGTGGGAGTCATCGTGTTTCTGTATGGCTGTGCCTCTGTGGACGACAACAAACCCAGGTACACAACAAGACACTTCTGCACAAGCACACCCAAAACTACATCTGTCGTGTGTGTGTGTGTTTAATACAAGCATACTTGTGTTTTGTTTCAAACACACACTGTTGTGTAATCCTGCATTATTAGTCTGTACATTTCCAAAGCTCAAATGCTCTGTTCCACCTTGTGATGTCATCAAATGGTAGTTTTAAAGGTAACAGCAATTTTTTGCACGTTGTTTTTCAGCGGACTTGATTTTTGATATTTATTTTTACGATTCTGACAATTCATTAAACGCGCCACACCTGCCCTCAGTCTGCTCCTCTCCACCTGATGTTCAGGCACGACACACTGACTCTTTAGAACTCCATTCCCAACACTTGTTTTAGTGCTGAGATTGAGAGAAGGATCGGACCCAAAGTATTTGGGACTGTTAAACTAGGAATGGTTCAGTCTGGATTGTTTTTATGACAATTAATATTTGCAAAACTCAATCAGTCAACAATATTTTAAAGTCAATGGCATGACCTAAAAGATGATAGAAATAATTAGCTACACCTAATGTAATATTTTGGCCTTTTTCTGATTAATTTCTTTCTTACAACCACAAATCTGGGAGAATCTTAAACGTTAACCTTAAGACTGATAGTTAATGTTCTGCCAACTAAGGCACAGCTGTGCTACAGAATGTTTGACAAAAGACTGACAAAAGACGACATTTCATGGCTCGTTTCTGTTGCTGCAAAACAAACCTGCTCCCATCTGCTGTCATCCATCACCTCTAATCTAAGTATCTCACATGTGTATATTGTTCCGTTCATTTGGTATAACAGAACAGTTTAAACTAGTGTTCTTACAATATTACAATGGTAAACTCAATTTTGATATTAAGGAATCATATTGATACCACCATGATAATAAAAAAATACTATTTACATAATATGATTTCCAACATTAAATCGTAGTTTTTTCTTTTCTATTCCCATGTGTGTTCTGTGTGTAATCCTCAGTGGTGTAGTAGGTTCATAGTGTCCATGTGTGTATACTAGTCTATGTGTGTTCTACTTGTTCTGATACAACTCATGTCTGTCCTGTGAATGTGACTTTTTCGTATCAACACTTGTTCAAATAATTGTCTAGTTCACAATAGTTTTAGTGTTGATGTGATTATTGTCTGATTTTTGATACCTTTGACAACGTTACATTCAAGCAGACTTTTTTTTTACCAAAAAAAAAAATCGACTTTTCAGAGCTTTTAACCATGTTATAGTTATTTCTCACCATTTCCTAACCAAAGTAGTATTTGGAGGAATTCATACATGTTTGAGAAATCATTCATTGATCTACTGCATTTTTCAGCTCCACACGTACACGCCCACCGCTCTGTACTAATGTCACGCTCCCAAGTTTATTTTCTTGATCTACGATGCACGTTGATTCTGCAGCATCTCACAGTCAGCTTTGTACAAATGAAAAGAAATCCTGTGCTGGTTAGTGTGATGTGCTGCTGTCCATAGGAGGGGTCAGCAGCAGACAACACTTTGTTATGATGATGTTTACGCTGCGTCAGCAAACATATTTCTTTTATTAACTTGTTTTACATCAATACTGAGATGATTTAAAATGTCCAGATTATAATATAATCATTCATAGGTGTCATAGATTATAACTATAGCTGACACAAGCGCAATAGTTCTGCATAAGCACGGATGACACATAGTTTGATCCACTTCTTTAGTCTGGGTAATGATGAAACCTCGGAGCAGCAGACTGACCTTCACGCTTCAACTGAGTGCTGTAAACATGTAAACAGGATCATCATGTCTTCCAGCTGCAGCTGTAGAAACACTCATACTACAGGCACTTTGAGGATAACAGTGAGGGATGTGTCCTCTCTAACCTGCCTCTGTGTTCTGTGTGCTGCTGCAGTATGGAAATCTGTGACCCCCGCCACAACATCACCATGTGCCCGCTGTGTGACCAGGCCTGCAGCTACTGGAAACTGACTGACGCCTGTGGCACTGCCCGCGCCAGCCACCTGTTTGACAACCCCGCCACCGTCTTCTTCTCCATCTTCATGGCTCTGTGGGGTGAGTCGCACATAGGCAAGATGCAGCTCACGTGCAACTGCTTAATGGGCCTGTACATTTTTTTTTTTTTCCCCACCATGTATGTGTCAATGCACAAAATGTGGTATTTTTATATGGTATATACAGTATATAGTATTTAGGACAAAGGACAGACACAAAAATGATAAACTAAATCACATCTGAGGGATTTTGTGTGTACACACACAAAATCCCTCACCCCAGTGACCCTTCCCACTATCACAAACTTCATGTCTGACATGGACAATGTTGGGGAGTAACAGATTACACGTACCAGCATTACGTAATCAGAGTACAAATTATGAGTAACTGTATTCAGTTACAGTTACTGTTTCAGTGAGTGGTAATTGGATTACAGTTACTCCGTTGAAATAAATGGATTACACGGCGGTATTCTCCTTTTTACACATTTTAGGCTAAACCAGGACTAAACAATATGACACTTAACATTAAGGTGAACATAATTTAAAGCAGCATTGATCTCATATAAAAGAACATTTCTCTATCAATAATTTTTTTTTTATATGTTTAAGGAAAGACTTGTTTTTTATTGTCTTTTATCAGACAAAACATCTTATGTTAAGATATCTTAGTCTTTGCTACTTTACAGTACAGCAAACAAAAGTCTGATCATGGAGACTTGGACTCAACAGAGAATTTGAAGAGAACAAACAAGAATTTTCAGGATGTGGTCGCTATATTCAAGTAGTTTTAAAAAGCATGACAATATCAAGTAATCCAAAGTATTCAGATTATGTTACTCACCTTAAGTAACTTAATAGATCATGTTACAAACTACATTTTAGGGTATGTAATCTGTAATCTGTAGGGGAATACATTTTAAAATTAACCTTCCCAACAATGGACATGGACCACAACTTCTTCAACCTTAACATTAATAAAGCAGAACTGTTCTCTCCTCCCCCTGCTCAGAACATCTCCCTCTTCATCAATGGCCACACTGTACCCCTCCCCCTCATGGACCCTCTCAGTCAGTGGACAGTGAAGTCTAACAGGTGTCTCTGAGTTCTAGCAGTGCAGCAAGAACAAACAGAATGAGAGGGTGTCCGACTCTGCTGTGAACTGGTGCCAAGCGGAGGTGCCATCTGGAGGTGGCACTGGCTTTCAGAGCAGAGGAGGGCATGTGGAGATGGTCTGGTACGAGTCTTCAGAGAGCACAGAAAGCAGAGCACTCATCAATGTAAACTACCAGCTCAGGTTTACCAAAACAACATGCTATTGTTGAGGGACAGATTTTAATGTTTTTGTTTTTTTTGTTTTTTTCTCTTTCTGACTTGGTTTGGTGGATAATACCTGTGCTAAATAGTCATCATAATTTTCAGGCAAGTGGCAGTTTGTGGGAAAAACACTGAACAAAAATACAGGAAGTAGCAGTGAATTATAACGCCCCCTATGTCATCAACACTGACCATTTTATCCAACATGCAGAGACAATTTACAAGGAACACATTTTCTGACAGCAATCGCTTAAGAAAACAAAGTCGGTGGTGCTGTTTATTTGTATTAGGACTGGGTAGTATCATCTTTCACACAGGAAAGTCAAACAAGAAAGTCAGGAGTGAACTTGTTTCATAATAATCCTCAGTATCTCGATTATTAAAAACACTAATCATTACAAGCTTTGGTCGTGCGTCTAACAGAGCAGAGATTCAATCCGACTCGAGCCCGACAGGCATTAAGAAATTTTGTCCGAACCCGACACAATTAAAATCACACAATTTTCATCGGCATAATGACACTCGTAGGATATTGTTTGTCTTCTTCTAATGGACACATAGATGCAAAAGGATAAAGCAAAAATAATGAGAAGACTTTATTCCTCACTTCTCGTAAAGTGGTAAATTTAAAGTGCAGCATCTCATCCACATTATCCATAGAAATTGTCCAGAAATAATCACCTCCAGTCCACAAAACTGCACTATTAAACCAGTGTGAGGAGTTATTTAAAAGTAAAAAGGTGAAAGTAGTTGTCGTGTGTCTGTGCACAGACTGAGGTGAAGCTGCTGATTCGCGATAGTTATTCTACTTCCTGTGGACTTTATCTTCAATCTTTTATGCTTTAAAAATCATATCTAAAGTTTTGCACCACATTTCACAAATAATAATAACACAGTTTTAACTTGTATCTAAACTAGAAGTGCTCTCTGATTGGACTGGACCGGTCAGGTTTCCATGCTCTAATGTCCAACCAGAACTGTGTGTTGGTGTAGTCTTTTCTTTATAGTCAGATTAGGGGTGGGCAATATCTCGATATTTTAAATATATCGAGATATTTTTTAAACTCGATATGGATTCTTACATATCGTATTTATATATATAATGCCACTTCGCTTGTTTGTCTTCTCTGTCGTCGCCCATGCGTGCCCCTGCCTCCCTGATTTTGCTCTCTCGTGTCTCATTCACTCCTCACTATCGCCATGCTGCCAGTGAAAAGCTTCTAGAGCTATGAAACTTTTCCACCATTTACAGTCAAGGCCACCAGCAGCACATCTCATATTCGTGTCCTTTAGTCCAAAAGAATTTGAACCGCATGAGCGGCACCTGGAGTGAGCTGTTTATGCAAATGAGCCATGTGCTTTTTAAGTTTTGTTTCTGTAAAACGTAAACAAGTCTACGCAAAGGTGCAAAAAAAAACCAACAACAACAACACATTATAATCTCAAACAGGCTGATGTGGCTCTGGAGTGGTTATGCTATATATCTTCTAAAGTTTAGTAATGTAAATTTTATTCATGCAGAAGATTTTAATTAATAATCTGCAGCAGTGTCACTTGTACAACAGTGTTTGGAAACGTTGGGTTTAATCTGCAGTGGATTGTTGGAAACCTTAGAGCTTCTCACACTGGTGAGGAACATGGATCTGTTAAAATAAGGAAACTCCCAATCTTCCTGTGCTGAAGGAGCTCATGGTTCTGGTTATGGTATGAATAACAGAGTTAATGCAAAGATGAGCTTGAGTTGAGTTGTTTTATTTATGAATGAAAAGAAGGAAATATGTATTATTTCTTTTATTTTACAGTTAAATTATTATTTATGTAATTAGGGTTTTTTGTCATATATATGAACTGCCGACCTCTTACACTTTAATTTAAAAAAAAAAAGGACCTTGTGGAATTTGGCAGATTTGTTTTTGCAGTTTTCAGTTTTAGGGGGTTATTTTTTCCTGTACACATATTGAGATATATATCGTATATCAAGATATAGAAAAATATATCAAGATATATTTTTTGATCCATATCGCCCAGCCCTAAGTCAGATCGGGGAAATGCCTGCTGTTTACTGTCAGCTTTTTGACAATTAATTTCAGCTTCCTGCACCTACATAACACTTTTGACCATCTCCTCATGTGTGCTCTGAGGGTTAGATGTGCTCTCCCTAGAAAATATGTTTTAAAACTCAGAGTCAGTGCCTCACCTGCTAATGTGCTCCCTGTGCTTAGCATGTGGGCTCCATAATGAACATGCCATGCTCACAGAAGTGTGGCTGCTTATTACAGGGTCAAGAGAGCGTTTGGTGGAGCTGATACATGAAGCCTGAATGTGAATTGGCCACAACAGAACATCAGCCTGTGATGGAGATTTAAGGCCTATAATCAGTGCTCTATCAAGTGCAACTATCGGTCAAATATCGACCAACTCGTATATCGGCATGTCTCTGGTGTAGTGTAGTGTAGTCCCAGTGGAAACGCCGTATATTGTGAATGGAGCTTTGCGTCTCTGAAAAAATCCAACTCTAAAATATGGTGCAAATAGTTCTGCAAGCTGTTACTTCTTTTCCTGTAAAACACTAGGAATAGAATGAAAAAGACTGAGGAGAGGAAAGAGAGAGAGGAGTCAAAAATGAAACTGAAATCGACAAATACAGCATTTTCAAAACAGTAAAAGGTAACATGTGTTATGTGTTAGCAGTTAATGTCACATAAAAGTAAAATACCCCCTTTTTAAAGAGATGTTCAAAAGATGTGATGTGGTCCTGCATATTGCTCCTCCACAAATCAAAAGCTCCTCTCCTTAAATGAATGCTGTGCTGTTGGGTCCTGAGGGGGGGCAGTAGAGATCTGAGAGCCCTGGAGTGTGCAGGTTTAAACAGGATCAATGCTCTAACTGTGGCTCACATCTGCCTCCAGGATTGACTTTGGCTTTGGGGACTGCGTTCCTCATTTACACAGAAATGACCAAGACTTAAGTGAATCTCTCTCCATTTCAGCGCTCAGTGTGTGAGTGCCCCTCATGGCCACAGCGGCACACACAAATCCAATCCTGTTTCTCAATCAGTCCATTGGTTGGTCTGAACTTGGAGTAAGGCAGTGTCTCTGGATTCATCCAGTTACTGAGTATTGTCTGAACTTCGTAGATTAGGAAGAGAAAATCCCTATATTGATCATTTAGTTCACATGAAGCTAAGCAAAACACCATTACTAAACTGGTGACTATTACTAAAATAATTACAATTTCTTGAAGTAGGTCTGCATGCAGTCTGCACTCTTACAGTTTAAAATAAAATATATATTACAGTCACTACTGAACTGTGTCTCCTGAGCCTTCACCTGCAGATAGAGGATACAGGCCTACACGTCTGTTTCATTCTCAGCATATGGACAGGCCTCATGTGATAGTTCAGAACCTCTAGAATTCCCTCCCTGAGCTGCAGAGGCTGCACTAGCACTGACTTGTTGTGGAAAAAGACTCCTTTTGTAGACACTGGTGAATGTTGAAGCAAAGACGCAGAGTTTATTTCTTGCACGAAATAGGTCCAACAGAACAACCAGCAGCGTGTCCCCCAGACGTCAGACCCCGAATGATACAAGCACCAAGTTTATATAGGTTGAAAAAGTGAGAAGGTGACGACTCCTACGGTGTGGTCAGACGTGTTCCTGTTGGCCTTCCTGAGCAGGATGTCAAGGTGTGGTATATTCAAAGGAGACAAAGAGGTCTGAAAGCAAACTACTTGATCTGATTTGCATCCATATTCACCTGCATTTGGTCACTTCCTCACAAGATTACTTCCAGACAAGATAGCAGGCAAAAGGGAACAGTAGTGTTTACATTGAAGGTCTTTAACTTTAACAATCCAACCAAATGAGTTTTACTTACAAGACCAAATGTGTTTCTAAAAGATAAAATAATCACACAATATTTTAAATTCCTTTACAGACTCATGATAGGCTGAAGGTGCTGGGGTTTAGGCACTCGCTATTCAGATCAGAGAGAGGCATTTTAGGTTTAAACCATCTACTGTATACATCGAAATGGACAAAACTAACACGCTAGTCACTACGTTTCAAATAGAAAGTTTGCATATGGGCACTTCTGGCTCCTTCTGAACCTGGCTCCCATTGACTTACATTGGAATCTTGTTGCCCCTCTCTCTGTAATTGTTGCTGTGAACCTCATTATTTTTAAAATGCCCCTATTAACACATCCAGCATGATCCTGTGTTTTTCTCACTATTTTGTCAGTTAAAAAATTCCTATTCAGAATAGAGCCTGGCTACAAATTCCCTCCTGTAACATCGTGAGCTTCATTTGAGTAGAGCTGGATGCTGTGGGTGACAGCACACTTGCTTAGTCCACTTTTTTATACTGGATTTCAGCAGTGAGACTGGCAACTCAAGTGTGACTCATGTGAGACTCATTCTGCTTTCTCCATAGATACGAGTTGGGGTGCGCCCCCTAGTGACTGGTGTACATAAAATCCAAAATGGCCCCCGACTAAAAGAGAAAAGATTATATCTCCGCTTCCTTTAGTCTTTAATTGTTGTATAATGCAATTTTTCTACTTAGTTTGATACAAGCAATCCAATTCTGATATACTCTTCTTATTTTTAGTCATGTTTTATGTTAAATCTATTATCATAGTCATATTTAACTAAAATAAACTGTCTATATCTCACATTATAAGTCACATTATATATAAATCACATTATATATTAATCAGGGCCCTAGACTCACAGTTTTACCCATAGTTTGCTTTTTCTTTTCTTCTGCTTTTCCAGAAGTGCACGATTTTCATTAATTCCCCCCTGACTATTGTATCTGGTGGCGTAGGTGGGCAGTGTTGGGAAGGTTACTTTTAAAATGTATTCCCCTACAGATTACAGATTACAGATTACATACCCTAAAATGTAGTTTGTAACGTAATCCATTAAATTACTTAAAGTGAGTAATGTAACCTGAATACATTGGATTACTTGATATTGTCATAATTTTTTAAACTACATGTACCAACCACATCCTGCAAATTCTTGTTTGTTCTCTTCAAATTGACTGTTGAGACCAAGTCTCCATGAACAGACTTTTGTTTACTGTAGAGAAGCAAAGACCAGGATATCTTAACATAAGATAAGTCTGCTTAAAGACAATAAAAAGTCCAATCTTCACTTAACTGTATTAAAAATATTATTAATAGAGAAATGATTTTTATATGAGATCACTGCTGTTTTAAATTATGTCCACCTACTGTTACATGTCATATTGTTTAGTCCTGGTTTAGTCCTGGTTTTAGACCTGGTTTAGTCCTGATTTAGTCCTGGTTTAGTCCTGGTTTAGTCCTGGTTTTAGACCTGATTTTAGACCTGGTTTAGTCCTGATTTAGTCCTGGTTTAGTCCTGGTTTTAGACCTGGTTTAGTCCTGATTTAGTCCTGGTTTAGTCCTGGTTTAGTCCTGGTTTTAGACCTGGTTTAGTCCTGGTTTAGTCCTGGTTTTAGTCCTGGTTTTAGACCTGGTTTAGTCCTGATTTAGTCCTGGTTTAGTCCTGGTTTTAGACCTGGTTTAGTCCTGATTTAGTCCTGGTTTAGTCCTGGTTTTAGATCTGGTTTAGTCCTGATTTAGTCCTGGTTTAGTCCTGGTTTTAGTCCTGGTTTTAGACCTGGTTTAGTCCTGATTTAGTCCTGGTTTAGTCCTGGTTTTAGTCCTGGTTTTAGACCTGGTTTAGTCCTGATTTAGTCCTGGTTTAGTCCTGGTTTTAGTCCTGGTTCAGTCCTGGTTTAGTTCTGGTTTAGACCTGGTTTTAGTCCTGTTTTAGTCCTGTTTTAGTCCTGGTTTAGTCCTGGTTTAGTCCTGGTTTTTTCCTGGTTCAGTCCTGGCTACCTCCGCCAAGGAGGTTATGTTTTTGCCGGCGTTTGTCTGTTTGTTTGTTTGTTTGTTTGTTTGTTTGTTTGTCTGTTAGCAACATAACTCAAAAAGTTACAGACCGATTTTGATGAAATTTTCAGGATTTGTTGGAAATGTGAAAAGGAAGAACTGATTTCATTTTGGGGTTGATCTGGAAGAAATCCTGGATTCTGGATCACTTTGAAATTTTAGTTAACATTGTGGTAAATGGGGCCAACAATTTTGTTTCTCAATATCTCGGTTAATTATTGACCAAACCCCATGAAATTTGACTCAGGGATGGACAATGGGATCCTCTTTCATATTCCTAAGGCTGATCCGGATCTGATCCAGAAGACTGATTCTATCGCAATTTATATAAAAAATGGGGGTAGTCCTTGGCGGAGGTCTGCGCTCTCTGAGTGCTTTTCTAGTTTAGTCCTGATTTAGTCCTGATTTAGTCCTGGTTTAGTCCTGGTTTAGTCCTGGTTTAGTCCTGGTTTAGCCCAAAATGTGAAAACAGGAAAATTCTGCCATGTAATCAATTTATTTCAACAAAGTAACTGTAATCCAATTACCACTCTTGTATTCTGTAACTGAATACAGTTACTCATCATTTGTACTCTGATTACATAGCGTACATGTAATCCATTACTCCCCAACACTGCAGGTTGGTCATGTTCAATCAATTAAAACATGTAAATCTTACTGCACACAGAATTTGTTATATAATTCAAATTTGAAATCATCAAAAACATTCAAGAGCACAGAACAGGAGCAAGAGCTAAATTAACAGCAAAGAATTAGAATTTCTGCACGTTTGTGGAAGTTTAAACTAAGCATGTTTACACCACAGCATTTTACCATCATTACCATTCAGTGATTATCCTGGAATGACTCTGACAAACCTATTCCACACCAGAGTTATGGTTTACAATAACACAACAACAGTGGGCAGTGTGACCATTATTGAAGTCCTATATTACACAAAACTTTAAGCCATGTTGTTACCTCCTCAAAAACAGACCCGGAGTTGTGTTTGGTTCATTCACAAATGTTTGAGTAACACTTTGTTATCAGTCTGTGCAGTCAAAATGCATCAAAAGTTAGCTTCTTTTACTTCTTTTTTTGTTCATTCCATTCCAAGGGCTGAAAATAATCCAAATAATTCTAGTGAAGGTTTAAAAACACAGTGGAGCGCTTCCTGTGTTGTGTTGTATTGTATGACATCACAAGGAGTGTTTTCAGTTTGAAAGAAGAGGAGCATAATATGGGCCCTTTCGATCCACATTAGTGATGGACTCTTGTGGTTCTCCTGCAGCGGTCCTCTTTATGGAGCACTGGAAAAGGCGTCAAATGAGACTCAACTACATCTGGGACCTGACGGGCTTTGGCGAGGAGGAGGAGGTGAGAACCAACACAAACGCATGCAACATTCAAACATGTTCACACAGGAGTCAATTACCCTGAACAGCTGCAGACTGAGAGCGGAGCTGTGCTGAAGAGCCACATCAGCACCACAGACAGCAGCACACATGCGCTCGTGTTGTTGTTGGTGATGTTCATATTTCCTTCTTCTCGCAAAGCTCAAAGATGTGCAGAAAATGTGCTCTGTGAAATGAGGTGTGGTTTTTTTTGGCCCTAGATACACATACCCAGTTATTTTTATAGACTCTCTTGATAGACTCTTTCTGCATCAGGACAGATTTTAAGCAGAGAACAGATGTTTTGAAATGCCCTCCAAAGTGAAGTTTTATTTTTCCACATTTCTTTGTTTGTTTTCTCAGTGCAGTAGTAGTAGTAGTTGTAGTAGTTTTGGACACAGGTAGGTGCAGTGTAAGGCACTTGTGTACAGACAGAGAGAGCAGCAGTGAGGCTGTGCTCAGTGCTCACCTCGTACGCACAAACCTCTGCTGTCTGCTCATTCACTTCAGCTCTGTCTTGTCCACATGTCCTGTTGATGTTGATACATGATGACACCAGTGCAGTGCCTTGGTAGTGGTAGCATCAGGATGTCAAACATCTTTTGTTTAGTGGGTTATTTAAGCCATGTCTATATTAATTTAGTTGTTAGGGTTCATTCTGAATGCAGGTATAACATTAACAATGACTGAATGCTTCCTGGTGATCTGGATTCAAAATAGTGGAACCACTGCTCATCACTGGACGATGAAACAGTGTGTGAAGAAAATGATTGTTTATAAAAGTCATATAAAATATCTGGGTGTGTGTAGCAAAGTCCCAAATCAATCACTTATTAAAGAAAAATTTAAATATATGTTCACAAATGTATTTCTTTCATGTGGATGCAGATCTGGTTTATGGTTAATCGCCCTGTAATTACTGTGCACGTGAAACTAAAACTGGATTATCCAATTCCAAACACGTGATTCTTGTTAGTATAAAGTAAAAAGTACAGCCATCATGGATTTTCAGTTTGGATATGTTTTCACCAAACAGTGAAGACACTGATAGTGCTGACCCGTCCAGTCTAGTGCCGTCCTGTATGACCATGCTTCCGCAGGGAGTATTATAGCTCTGATAATGTAGGTCAAGATAACAAGGACTCAGGGGCATTGCGGCCTCTACTATTGCCCTCTACATCAATTTGAAGCTATTGGCCAAAGAGTATGTTATGAAGTCCCCCAACAATCACAGTTATTTTTCTTAAAAGCCCTGGACCTGTTTTTGTTCCATGTATTTGAACAAAATGTGTCTTTCCCCAAAACAGATATCCTGCATAAGCAGCTCCTGAAGTCAAAATAAGTCTGCTCCAGTGATGACTACGTCTAATTAGAAGTGTTTTATAATTTGATAATCAGGAAGTGTGCATTAGCTTGCTAGATGTTAGCTTTACTGTTATGACAAAACTCTGTGGGTTGTGAAAAGCGCCTGTAAACTCATTGAGGTGGACAATTAGGATGCATAAGGTAAGTGAGGAATCACTTTGGACCACTGCAAACTGTTTTGTTCTGCTCCTCACATTTTAAAAACAGTAAAAATCGTCTGCAGCATCTTGATGTTGTGCAGCTGTCACTCCAGAGCAGACAGTAGATGTGGTTTTCATGCGTTTAGGGGAAAGCTTGTGTCTGTGGTATGGTCAGAACAATATCTGGAAGTGAATGTAAGAGCTCAGTCTTGTGCAGTGGTGACTCAGCCTCAGTGAAATGTTCCCACACAGTCCTGACAGCCGCCAACATGCCTCTGTCCGGACCGCAGTATCACCAGAGCTCACAGGGCCTGGTGCGTTCACTGACTGCTCTGCTTTTGTCTCTCTGTCCTGTTTTTCAGGAGGAACACAAGGTTTGGGAACAGTTACCTTTAAAAACCTGCTGTTTATCTCAATGCCTCTGTACCACTTTGTACATCATGTAACTTACAACCTGTTTAACCGACAAAGGGCCTGATTTACTAAAACACTGCACGGACAAAACTGCAGAAATCATATGAAGTGTGGTGAGCAGATAAAACTATTTTTGCCCCTTTACAAGATGAGTGACAGTAAGTTGATAGATACTTTGCAATGACATCATGTTGGGGGTGTTCTACATGTATCTCTATTGGCAGAATGTTAGTTACCATGGTGATACAATGTACAAATTAGCAAACACAAAAAAAAGAAAAATGTTTTAAGATAAAAAAATACAAAATGGATTTAAACAACACATTATCAGGAGCCTGTGATCACTTCAAGAGAGTCAGGAGATTTTCAGAAAAGTTACATAGTGAACTCTTCAATCAACCAATCAATCTGCTCCAAGTTGCAGTCATGTTTAGGTCGGTGTAAGTCTGCCATCCTTGTAAAAAGTAAAACTCACTGCTGCAGACTTTAGTAGATCAGGGCCTTAGTCTCCGGACACATCACTTCTTTTAAAGCACTGCTCACACTAACCTGCTTGTCTGTTTTAGCCTGTACCAGACGCTCTGTCCCTGCATCGTGGTGTGCTTATTTCTTCACTCACAGTGGACCTGCAACATGTGCTCTTCAATACACTTTACAACAAATGCACTTTAGAGTAGTGATATTTTTGAACCATCTGAGTTGGTTCAAAACATCTCAAGTCAACTCAGACTTGACCTCGAGTTGACGCAGACTTCACCTGGAGTTGAATTGGAATTAAGATGGAGTTGACCTGGAGTTGACTCAGACATGACTCAAAGTTGACCTGGAACTGACTCAGACTTGAGCTGGAGTTTACTCAGACTTGACCTGGAGTTGACTCAGAATTAACCTGGAGATGACCTGGAATTGACTCAGACTTGACCTGCAGTTTACTCGGACTTGACCTGGAATTGACCTGGAGTTGACTCAGACTTGACCTGCAGTTTACTCGGACTTGACCTGGAATTGACCTGGAGTTGACTCGGACATGACTCAGTTGGAGTTGGAGTTACAATGACTTGAGTTCGGACTGGGACAATTATAAGCATGACCTGTGCTTCGTGCCCTTCAGATCTGGTGTCACTGAAGCTAACCCCACATGTGATGCTTTTTGTCGGCATGCTTCAGATATGATCACATGATCACACAGCCCTGACTCTCCCACCCTCCATCTCTCTCTCTCTCTCTCTCTCTCTCTCTCTCTCTCTCTCTCTCTCTCTCTCTCCCTCCTGTCACAGTGAGGCAGAGCTCAAGGACACGTGCGTCTGATGGGCTAACGTCTTCTCTGTCATTCGGTGTGACAGCAGCTAACAGGAGCACAGCTTGGGTTTGCCTCGTGTCACTTTACCATGGTCACTATAAAAGGACACACCGAATGACCAACATGAAACAAAAACAGCATTTTAATTTTGCACTTACAATGTTTTATTTTTAGAACTGTAAAATGTCTACACCAGTTGGGCTTTTAAATACATTATTTAAAAAAAAAAGACTCCTTCACCTGCAGTGTCTCTCGGGAGGTTTTTTGTCATCTCCGGGTTACACACATAGCACTAGTGTACACTGAGAACAGTCCTGGTCCTCATGTGGTGTTTGGTGTGCTCCTTCAATGGTGGACCACAGTCTCTCTAACCCGGAGCTCCTGTTTAACCTCACCAGGCTCTATCTGCTGCCGCCAAGCACAGGACTCTGCTGTACTCTATGGTCCATGGTCCATGGTCCATGGCCTATGGTCCATGGTCCATGGCCTATGGTCCATGGCCCATGGTCCATGGTCCATGGTCCATGGTCCATGGTCCTTGATCTATGGTCCATGGTCCTTGATCTATGGTCCATGGTCCATGGTCCATGGTCCATGGCCTATGGTCCATGGTCCATGGTTCATGGATTATGGTCCATGGTCCATGGTCCATGGTCCATGGTCTATGGTCCATAGTCCATGGTCTATAGCATTGCTTTCACTACTGTTTAACTGCATTTCTGTTTATAGGACCACAATCGGGCTGAGTATGAGTTCCGTGTCATGCAGAAGTCATTGAAAAAGGAGCATTCCACTCCAAAGGTACGTGTCATGATGTTGGGCCTGTCCGCTGATAGGCGGCACTGTGGTTTAATGGGGCTCGCTCAGCACTTCTATCAAATACTGTTTGTGTGGACCAGCACAATGCATTTGTTCACCATGCTGGCCATAACCATTACATGGTGAGACAACAATGCCTTCTTCACCAGCTGTGAAAACACTGCATATTTAGCCTTATGACCTTTAAATGACTTGTATTACTTGTTACAAGAGAAGAAACTGGACTAACAGAGTTATTTAGTTAATGCCCTTGGAGATGTCATTGGAACTGCTGCATTTCAAATGACATCACAACATTCTATTGACCAATATTGTTTAATACAGATGGGGGCCGATCAACTGAATATTGTTCAGTGCAGATTTGTGTTTTAATACAGTGAGTAGTTGGCTCCAAAAGGTAATCCACAACCCAACCCAATCCACAATGTTGTCTATTAGTGACTAGACCCTAGAACTCACTGTATTACAACAAAGATCTGGATTTTAACAATATTAATTTTATCTGCTCCCCCATCCTTATTAAATAATGTTGATCTATAGAATGCTGTCATGTCATCTGAAACCCAGCAATAGGGACTAAACTTACCTGGCCAGCCAACACCAAACACTTGTACTTTATGAAGAAGTGTTGTCTGGAACTGTAGCTTGTCACCACAATTTCCAGTGGGCATGAATGACAGGTGTCCAAAAAAAAAAAAATCTTTGTAAAATTCATCACCAAAAATATCTTCTGGTACCTCAGGTGGATTCTACACAAATCTCTGTTATTTCCATCTTTATTTTTTACTTGCAAACCACCATATATATATATATATATATATATATATATATATATATATATATATATATATATATATATATATATATATATATATATATATATATATATTATATATATATATAATTTGTTATTCTATTAATGTTATTATTGATAATTATCATTATCAATAATAACCATGATATTAATAATAACATATACATAGAGCCTATCAGCCTACAGTGGTCGTAAATGTAACATTTTATAAAAAAAAAAAAAAAAAAAAGACAGATCAACATCCTCATTCAAACCCAGATGTTCACATGCTCTCAGTTTATGAGTCCAGAAAGCTTCTCTTTGATTTAATTTCTGAAGCCTGTCTCCACCTCTTGCCAGAGGTTTCACTTCTTCTACATCTACTTCTTTGGAGTTTTGGAGTCCTTTGTGTTTTAGTTTTAATCCTTTTTCCAAGAGCACCCTCTACCTGCTCCCACTGATTGGAACACCTGCAGAAAACAGCCACATTTTTGTGGCTATAACTTCTTTTACCTGAGAAAAATAACAGCTTGGTGCTTCAGTTCTTAATTCTATTGTTTCTCCGTCCTTTATGTAAGCAGCCATTTTTTATTTTTTTTTGACACAAATGATCCATCTGTCTCTCTGATTGGTTAATCCACCTGTCAATCACACCCTCAGGATACAGCTCCAGATCCACTCTTCTTTGTAAAATTTAGTAAAAGCAAGAGTAAGTGGTCAGTGCTGTGTTCATTCTAACACTGGGCATGCCTCATCCTTATAATATCAGTGTCTGTGACAGTGATAGAATAAGATCTGAAGGTGAAGTCAGGACGTCGAATAAAAGCTCTATTCCCACTCAAAGTCACTTACATTGTGAGGACCACAAAGAAAACCCTGGCCGCGTTCAGTGTAGTCTATAGGATCCCCAGCCCATTCTCCCATCTCCGTAAACTGTGCATATACCACACATTAGACTTGACTGAAGTGAAGATGCCTCTGATACATCCTGTACCACCTTTTTCCTTTGGTGAGCTACTATTACAAAAAGGAAATTGCAGAGAGCTACTACTGTCCGCAGTTACAAGAAATCAATTCTATATAAGAGCGATGGTTAACTTAAGCTGCCTCTACAGTTAGATGCCGATAAAACATAAAGTATTTTGTATTTATTTGTGCGTAGGTGTCTGAAGTATACAGTTACAGTGGTAAATATTGGTGTGGTGAATCAAATTTGAGCATTAAATCAATGTAATATTTATAATTCCTAAATTCCTAAATCGTTTGGGGAGCTACTTGAAAGGTGGCGGTCCCTGGCAGGCCTCTCCTCGGCAGGGGGTCTGGCCCTCGCAGTGTGAGTGGAGCTTGGTCCAGTTGAGTGGGTGGATGTGACATGATGGGTACAGTTAGCCGCGCCTCACTGCCCTCACACAGTCTGCTTATGTAAGCCTGTGCTCCGGGGCAGCGAGGAGAGACGGAGAGCCAGGATGTATAAGGAAGGGCAATAAAAACAGGAGTAGGGCTGGGACAGGCTCTGGGCTCTGGGGACATCATAGAACTAAATGTATGTCCTCCCCTGATTTACTCAGGTTATAATAAACAGACAAAGTGAAATGTATCTGAAAAAAGACAGAGATTAATCTGCCTGTTAATCAGAAGGTCTCTATAATATGCCATTTTACTCAAACTTTTTAAAATCTCAGACAGTTTTGTACATTCTTTAAAATGCTTAAATTGATTTCATGTTTAGTGTTCTTAGATTTGGTTTAGTCCAAGTTCATCTCTAGTCCTGGTTTAGTCCTGGTGTAGTCCTGGTTTAATCCTGGTGTAGTCCTGGTTTAGTCCTGGTGTTGTCCTGGTTTAGTCCTGGTGTAGACCTGGTTTAGTCCTGGTGTAGTCCTGGTTTAGTCCTGGTGTAGACCTGGTTTAGTCCTGGTGTAGTCCTGGTTTAGTCCTGGTGTAGACCTGGTTTCATCCTGGTGTAGACCTGGTTTAGTCCTGGTGTAGTCCTGGTTTATTCCTGGTGTTGTCCTGGTTTAGTCCTGGTGTAGACCTGGTTTAGTCCTGGTTTAGTCCTGGTGTAGACCTGGTTT